TGGGGACTAATTGCAGGATGGGACCACTCAGAGCAGTGGAGCTCATGAAAATATGTGCAGGAATCAATTTGACTAAAAAACATTGGGATCAGGAATGCCCAAAAACCTCACAGTGCAGTGTGACAGAGCCATCAGAGCCTTCCTGTGCTGCAGGATCAGGGGTGCACATCGTCTCTGTCTAGGAAAACATGGCAGGATCTCTGGGCATTCCAGCTCTGCATGGAATTATAAAATCATGGAATGGTTTGGGTTGGAAGGGACCTTCAGTCTCATCCAGGGACATCTCCCACTGTCCCAGGGTGCTCCCAGCCCCAATGTCCAGCCTGGCCTTGGGCACTGCCAGGGATCCAGGGGCAGCCACAGCTTCTCTGGGCACCCTGTGCCAGGGCCTCCCCACCCTCCCAGGCAGGAATTCGTTCCCAATATCCCATCCATCCCTGCCCTCTGGCAGTTTGAAGCCATTCCCTGTGTCCTGTCCCTCCATCCCTTGTCCCCAGTCCCTCTCCAGCTCTCCTGGAGCCCCTTTATGCCCTGGAAGGGGCTCTGAGCTCTCCCTGGACCCTTCTCTTTTCCAGGTGAGCACCCCCAGCTCTCCCAGCCTGTCACACAGGATCATTCACATCTCTCCATGTGCCACCAGTTTTTGATCTCCCATTTAAATACAGATTTATCACTGATTTATCCTGGAATGGGCTCAAATGTCACCCTGCAGTGACAGAGCTGTGGGTTCCAGCATCCCCTCCCTTCCAGCTGGGAGCAGGAGGAGAATATTCCATTGTGGGGTTGCTGTGTGTCCCACCTGCCCCTTGGAAAAATGACAGAATGGAGGAGAGGTGCAGGGACAGAATAGAGGAGGTGCAGGGACTCAGCCCCTGCAGCAGCTCCCTGAGGGATATTCCCTTCCAAAGTGTCCCACATCCCAAAAACACATGACACAAAACCAAATTTTTCCTGTCCCCTATTATTTACATTGAGTTCTGATGCCTAAACTATACACTATGGATATTTTGTCATCTTTGCTCTTATTCTTTTATCTTCTTCTCAATTAATTCTTCTTATCTTCTTTTCTTTTCTCCAAATTCTGGCTGATTTTTTTTCCYGCTATCCAAGAATATTTAATTTCTGTCCCATTCCAGTGTCTGTTGCCAAGATTAATACTCCAGCTGCCTGGAAACTCTGAATTCCTTTGTTTTGTATTCATTCTTGTCATCTTTGAGCAACTCTACCATCTTCTCTCCTATCTCTCTGTCTCATCTCTCAGAATAATTTCCTACATGTTTTAGCCAAACTTTTCTCATGGATAACTTCTCTTCTTTCCATCTTTTTGCTGCTTCCCCATCAGCTCCCTGTCTTCCTTTTGCTTTCTATTCCAAATTCTCTTTCMCCCCCTTTTTCTGTAGGTAATCCCCATTTTTTGCATGAATTCTTCATTTATTAAAGGCAAATCATGAKATCATCTTTGCTGTGTCCCTCTACTACAAACAGGATCATTCTAAGTCATTCCTGGTGGGGTTTTGGGTTTGCTTTTCTTCATTGTTTCTTTTTTTTCATTTGTGGGAAATCTCCCAGATTCCCATCCCTTCCCGTTCACTGCTGTGATATTATTCCAGCAGGAAAACCTTTTCAGCTGTACAGAGAATGTGTCTGAAGGCAATTTGAGCCCATTGCTGATTGTGCTGTTACAAAGCTGGAGAGGGATTATCCCTTCTCCCRTTTCCCTGTTATCTTTTCTGTGCATGAAGATAAATGGAAGAGGTCCACTGGATTGGAAGAGGTCACAGGAATTTGGCATTGGACCCTCTGAATTCATGGACAGCTGGAAGTGGATGGAGATGGAATTTTTTTCTCAGTGTGGGGTGGGAGGATTTTGCTTTTAAAATTGTTTAGATTTGTGTGTCTTGAAAATACTTGAGTAGTTTGAAAATGCTCCAGTTGTTTGTGAGAATTCAACTATTTCCCTTAGGAAGTTTGTTGAAGAAATGGGARGAATGAATCCATCAGATYGAAAYTCAAATTAAAGGATCTTMTAAAAATGAGGGAGRGGGACTTGGGTCRAGGGCCTGGAGGRACAGGRTGAGAGGGAATGGCTTTAAACTGAAGGAGGGTAGATTTAAGTTAGATATTAGAATAKAATAGAATATTAGGATATTAGAAAATAATTYCTGGCTGKGAGGGWGGKGAGGCCCTGGCACAGGGTGCCCAGAGAAGCTGTGGCTGCCCCTGGATCCCTGGCAGTGYCCAGGGCCAGGTTGGATGGAGTTTGGGGCACCCTGGCACAGTGGAAGGTGTCCCTGCCATGGATGGGGTGAAATGAGATGATCTTTAAGGTCCTTCCAACCCAAACCATTCCATAATTCCCTAAACTCAAAAACCCTTCACTCACAGGGATCATTTAGAAGCAGGATGTGTGAATCCAAGCAAAGCTTTAGCTGCAGAGTAACCCCTAAACCAGGCCCAGTGTGATATCTGTGCTAAATTTATGAAGTCGTGTTGCCTTTTCCCTCCTTTATTGGTTAAAAAAATTACTAATGATGTTTATAAAAAGCCTCTTGACATTTTAAACTYCTCTACTACTGTTTTCCTGCCCCAGTGAAGTGTTCCTCCACATAATTCAACATCAAGAAGCCCTTGAGGATTTAGTTAAATCAGTCAGGGGTGGATTTTTGCGAGTGGGTTCTCTTCTACCTTCATATTTTGTAGTTATTTTCTTAAATAAAAATCTGGCATTCCTTGAGATATAAATGTTGGGATAATTTCTTTTCTAAAACACTGGGACTTCTTTTGCCAGCAACACTGTTCTCAGGGAAGCTGCCTCAAAGCACAGCAAATATAAACATCTATTTCCAAAGAGGTTATTAAAAAATATTAGCTGTGTTGTTACTTAAATAAACACATGAAGAATTCAATTTACAGCAGCGCTCGAGTCCTCTTGGACTTGTCAAAATGGTCTAAATTAAAGGGARCAGGATAAAGCACTTTGTTTTCTGGATTGGACATCCCTGGCTTTAATATAGGAGGGAATTTTCCTGGGGAAACCTTAAACAAAAATAAACATCCCAGAATAATTTGGGATGGAAGGGAYTTAAAGATCATCCCAATCCACCCCTGCCATGGGCAGGGACACCTTYCACTGTCYCAKGGTGCTCCTCACYCTCACAGTGASAATTTCTTCCCAATATCCCATCAAAATATCCCTTTCTTTCAGCTTAAAGCCATTCCCTCTTATCCTTCCATGCCAAAAGATGAATGAAATTAATAATATGTAAAATATGAAGGCAGGGTTTGAGCTCTGGACTCTGGGGAGAACATCCTCTGCTCGGCAATTCTCTCAAGGAGATTTGTTATCTACATAAATATAAATTGCATTCCTGAAATTATTGCTGTTTTAATTTATGAAAGCTTTCCCTTTTATGTTAAAGTGGCATGAACATGCCAGGCTATTGCTTTGCTTACAGTAGATTTTTCTGTCAATTTTTTTTTCCCAAAGGTTTTTTTTTTCCTTTTTCCAAAGGATTATTTTTTTCCTTTTTCCAAAGGATACTTTTTTTTGTGCCAATGTGCCCAAGTGTCCTCACCCAAAACCACCCTCCTGACGAGA